GTAGTAGGTAGTTTGACTAAGACGCATTCAAGGCCCCAGTTTTGGATTAAAATTTACCAACTTTTGTTTAATAAAATAAAATAAAATCTGATTTATCTAATTATTTAAATACTTTAGTTCAGTTTCAGAGTGCGTAACCACTACTGAGTCAGCAACAGGATCCGCAGCGATCATGCATCTCTTGAGAGCGAGTCACCTCTGTGAACGATCAAACTTGGAGTAGCTGCCCTCCCATTTTTCTGGATGACAAGCCCTACTTTGGTACAAGACATGTGATCGTTCTTGCTGAATTTTCACCCCTTCGTGTTAGGCCAAGACCGCAAAAATATGGTAACGAATTCACAACGAAAAACAGAAATGCTCTGATACTGCGAAGGTAATCACGTAATCGGTGCCAGAGTCCACCGGATATATGGTACTTCCTAAGTGCTTGTTCGAATAAACACAGTACAGTGAAAACGTCAGATTTAATTACCATATGGTCGAATTAGCCGCTAAAAGCTCATCAGGTCTACATCCACAGACATTTCCTGCATCCATCCTGTCAGAAGAAATTTCGTGAAAAGCTGGACAACGTGAAGACAGTTTCAGTCCCTACGTTTCTCCCATATGTCGACTGTCCAGGAAACGACTAAGCTATCGCAGTTGTAAGGCCAATATCTCTACACATTAAGACACAGTAACGATAGGAACGTGATGAGAGAAAGTTAAAATTCAATGATTCTACAATAGGAAGAATCTGTGACAAGGGTTAAAATATTCGCGAAATGCGCAAGAATCAATAAATACCTATTATATGAGAATGACTAAAACTACGCTTGACGCTTCAAAGAATTTGGAATGCTATATGAACAGACCACGAGGACGTGCTTCCGCTGGTACTCGACAAGTTCGATCCTCAGAAGAAAAGTCATAGACGCAATGACGCCTCATACCGAGGCGAACGCGGCCCACGCCTTTCAATATGAAAACCTCGCAAATCTCACTGCTTCCTTGCGGTTGGGCTTCGGTTCGCCAAAGGGTAGAAGAAAAAGCTGCCTTTAAAACACTGGACGGAATTTAGGGACCTGTCCATACGAAATTCCGCACGTAAGCGTCAGCTTTGCAAGCGGGTGGCAAAACTTTATGCGCTGTGACAACACAAGTAAATGGGTTTCAGCACCCTGCACGTCCTCGGTTTGGCATTCGACGACTGGGAGGCTGCTGAGAATCTCAACCGAAAGATCGCCATCTGGTAAACGTAGTCGGACTTACTTCGCCGTCTGCACCTACAACGGCAGAAAACTAGCGATGGAAGAAACGTTAAACCAACCAATGAAGAAAAGGTCAGAAACGGCCTGCGAGATGACGGCCGAAAGAAATGAGTGACATCTGCAAAGACGATAGTTCGATATGGCTACGAAGCGAACAGGGCGCGAAAAACAATCGGATTTTCAGTCCTACAAAATCGTCTACTGCTATGGAAAATCATCGATACTGGACGATCTGTTGCCTCTACCGAGATGGTTCAGATCTACGCTTCAACAAGCACAACTGATGACGAGTAAGTGTAAGAATTCTGGCGTTGATCCCAAAGTTTAAAGAATCCCGAAGATTTCATTGAAAAGGTGGGACGAAAAAGTGCCGGTAAAAGAAACATCCATAAGTGGGGCACCGAACAGCGAAATGATCTAAGAAATCAGCTGATAACCATAACAGAAACGAAACTTCCTGTGAATGGCAACACCTAATACGAGAAGAAGACCAACAGGAAGTGAATGTGGATCGCGCTCAACGCGGCAACGAAGAATGAGAGTGAATCGCTCTTGTTCGATAAACGCTGCTTCATCTGAGACATCGCGACAGTGCCAGCATCTAACAGCGACGTTGAATACAGACTGGTGTCTGCCAAGCTAACCTTCGAGTTGAAGATCAGGACGAAAGCACTGGAGATGGCAAATCGCAGACAACGAAGGTATCGAAGGTACTTGACAAGGCGGTGCTCCAACGCTCGCATTCCCAACGAAGACTGGAGCCCAAAATACAGCTGCGACGACGACTACGTGTAGTTCACTGCAAGGTGGTAACATCAAAGAGCGCGAAAGGAGAGATCTTAGAAAATACACACAGTTTCCTAGACAATCGGAGGAGGAAAAAGAGAAATCGGACCGACACGGTGGTGTGTTCCCTTCCGCTTGCAAAAATAAGAGAAAACAGCTGAAGGCCGCAGAAGTCTCACACAGTGCAGGGCAGAGTAAGCGCTATACCAGTCGACCATTACGGCGCTAAGGAACGGGGACGGCCGTTAATGACTGACAGAGCTGAAATGCAGTTTACCTGCATGAACGTTTACGCTAAGCTCATGGCGTAAGAGACGTTCCTCACTTTCACTCCAATAGCCACAAGGAAGTACAGTCCTGGTCCTCGTGAGCGACGTTTGGCATGCTGCGCAGCACATAAAGGAACAAACAGACATAGGGAAAGACGGTCTGGCAGTTGAAACGACCAGAGCAGGTGGTAAAAAACTGTGGAGGGCTCTAACGGGGAAGTTCAGCTGCTAAACTGGCAACGATATTATCAAGTTGGAAGGAGTCAGAAATAATCGCGTTGCTCAAGAAGGACGGGAAGGAAGAACAGTTTGAAGAACAATCGCTCAATCTGTCTGCTCTACAAGCCTACAAGTCGTTCACTAACATTATGAGTAACGACCCGTCAACAAGTCTGGAATAACCGCAGCAGAGAGAAGTTGCACGATTATGAAGGAGCTACAGCACAAAGCAAAGCACAAAGCACAATTAACATCTTAACATAAATTTAACTCCTGGAACGAGCGAGAGAATTCCAGCTTCCTCTGTGCATAGCATTCGTCGACTTCGAGAAAGTATAGAATTCGTCGACTGTCGAGCATAACACAGCGGGGCAGCGACACCCGTTAAGTCAACCTGCCAATGGAAGCGAACCCTGGCCGTGTAACCAACGCCATGCTGTTCGACACTTCTTCTTCTGAATTCCCGTCGAAAAGGGCGTGAAACAAGGGCGTGCCGTCTTTCCAGACTTTTCACTGCCTCTTTAGAAATGGCGTCCAGAGGATGAACTGTAACGGCGGAAACGTGCGGATCGGCAGAGGAGCTGCAACCAGTGACCTTCGACGCCGAATACCGGCTGGTTCAAGTGTTGCAAGTGATGAATCGGACTTTAGGTATAAGCAGAATGTCCTCTGCACATGACGACGATCACCACGCAAATGGCGACGAATCTGCATGCAGAATGAGGCGAATTACCTTTCCTACCAGCGATGATCAGTTCGATCGCTTTAAAAAGTGCACTGTACTACGTATTCTTAAAACGATCTAAGTTGCTGCAGACGAACTGCTGGTCCTAAAAGTTTAGGTAGGCAAAGGGAACCATAAATCAGAGCAAATCTTTAATGTTGACAAAATATGCCTGTTGTGCAAGAAAACGTTTAACTGAAGGCGTATATGTTTGATAAAAATGGGAATCATCAGTGATCATATTCATTCAAGCAATCAGCATTCAATATGTGTATTCTCCATGAAAAAGAAGCCAACATAGGATTACAAGACCAGTCCAAAGTGGTTTACAAATGAGAATGTTAAGATACCGTTGGTAATGTAGAACAGGTCTGCTTACTGTTTTTAACTCCAACAAGACGAAAAGGACAACAACCGTAGTTACCCGTTACTCTCTGTCCCAAACTGAACTGGAATAAAAGATCCAATGCCAAGTGATAAATTGCAATGTAAGATTATTCTCGATGACAGTGCCCGTCGTAATCATTTTTAGCTCACCGTCCTGGACAATAACAGTAAGACGTTGTCCCTATAATCCAATACCACTTCCACTAGGCCTATGGATCGCGGCATATTCAAAATCCACTTATTATCTTCGACGAACCTAGACAACGCTTTGAAAATACAATGGCGGAGAAAGTAATCAACTCCAAAAGATTTTTGACTTAATTTCAATGCTGACCCACTTTACGGTATTAGCGAACTGTAGTCAGAAGTCACACAAAAATGAACGAATGGCGTATGAAATATGATCTGAAGTGGTCAGAGAATTAAGAGGCCTTGATGCTCAGGATTTAGATGCTACAGGGAACGCTGTTGCGCAAACAAACAACCGCATTGGCTTCGACGAAGCTGACGGGGACAACATGAAAGAACTGCTCTACTGGTACAGTGAGAAAAATATAAGTTTCTACGACACATGAAGAAATCAAGAAAGAGAATCACAGTCCAGATTTGATCAGGTAAACCTGTCAGAACCTCTCCAACGAAGGGCGTTTTCATCGGTTTCTAAGCACCGGAACGACTTAACAGCGATTTTTGATGAAAAGAATTGCGATCGGCAGAAGCAAGCGATTCGTGAAAAAACCTCCAATTACGTCAGAACCTTCGAAAGACGGTGCAGAACCTGCCTGGCCAGGGATTGTCATGCGAAGTGACTTAAAGATGATTCGATGTGAATTTTTTTTTAATTTTCGGTTTTCAAATTTATTATCGTTTGCAATGTAACAGCGTATTACATTATCTGAATGCTATGCATAAATAATCGTTGCTTTAAAGCTGACAGACTTACGGAGCTTAAGCTTACAGCTTCGCTTTTGGAACAATCAATTTACTTGCATTCCATAGGAATTACTGATTTACACTAACCCGATATACTTCATAGTATTCTAAACACATCTGCAGAATAAATCGAGCGTCAGTTGTATCAATACTTTACTACACTAAACGACTGTGCTACAGTTAACTGCACCTGCCCTGCAAATCAAGGGCATCATCCAATGATAACTTTAAACACGAAAGTGGATTCCTTTATGCAGGAATTTAGTTAAAAATCTCGATCGAGCATGATCCGAAACGTTGGGAGAATTTGCGTATAATAAATTCTATGCGAAGTGACATTACGTAAAGGGCTCGTCGAACAGTCAATTGATATCAGACTGAACTTACGTACAAAAACTTAAATGCTTTGTGTACAAACTTTTAAGAGCACTGAAGAGAGGAAACTAGGTGAACGTAGGCTTGCGCTTGTGTCATGCCCACCAACAAGGACAAGTAGGATGAAAAGAAATGAAAGACATTTCAAAAGACCACCTCATGACGAGCTCGTAACGAAGCCCCCAAAAACAGTTTCTTCCATTTTGCTATGTAGATGTTATTCTGCAATGTTGACAAATAACAGATAACTCCGTTAATACGGCGATCGACCCATAGCCGAACGTTGGCGTATTTAAATTCCGAGCCGATCAGGAAACTCGCTTTTCATCTTTCTGAAGTACATTT